TTTTCTCTTAGGTGAAGAATCTAGATAGCAAATGACTCTTAAGAAGTATCTAGGGATCATCTTGAACCCAAAGCATCGCTTTACGAACATTTAGATTACGTGAATTCAAACTAATAGATTAAACGCCATTCACTTTGAATAGCCTCTGGACTATTAGGAGAGTTGGTAGTGTTATTATTTAAAGCAACTGCACATAAAATATACCAACGCATCATTTGTTCTTATGCTCATTCATTACCAACAGTAAATTTTCACATTTTTTAGTTTGATTCAGATAATTAATTTAGAGGACAGTGGCTTTTTTTGCTCATTTTATAGAAATAACAAGTTGTAATTTAATTGGGTAAACAGTCACAAATACAGTACAGGGAAAAACATATACCATGTAATAAAGTTTTCACTCAATTAGAAAAGAGATTTGTCTCATTCATCTCCCAATTTCCCTACAGTTCTAAGCAGAGTGCACTTCACATAAGCACTCAATGTTACTTTCTAAATTAAAGATCATGATTTAAAATGCTTAAATTATAACTAGTATGTCTTTCCTGTCAAAGATGTTGGTTTCCAAGACCTAAAATCGTGAGATTTAATGTGAGTAGTTATTGATTTCCCTTAGAAAGAGCAGTCAAACTTGTAATTCTCTGTTCTAAAAGGCAAGACACAATGTACTATTAGCATCTATTATGTGTTAATTAGGATATAGCTCAATTTATCTCATTTATTAAAAATAAGAATTTCTAACCAAAAGAACAGTTTAAAAAATATTATATATAGCTATATCATCTTGTTAAATATTAGTGATCATATATTATACAAATAAAGGATTTTTGCATTCAGCAATATATTTTAGAAATGCAAAAGTTGTACACAAGAGACTTTTTAAAGTTTCTTCAATTTACTTGTGGTTTACAATAATTTAATGGTCTGCATCATGAAGAACTATCAAAACATATTCTGCTTTTGACCTGCGGCACCTATAACAAAGTCAAATTTCTCATTATGACACCTTACACCTTTCAGGAGTAGTCTTGCCTATATAAGCAGCCTTAGTTACTGCCACTGCATCATATCTTATGTACCATTCCTATTGAAATAGTTTGAATTTTTCCTAATGCGGCATATTTAATAGCTGTCTGAATGTGAGATTTCCTCTGCTGAATCTATCCACTCCTTGCTTAACTGTAAAACTCCTTATTTTTTAAGACTCACCCCAAGTGTCACCTCCTGTTTGAAGTATTCCCTGAATTTCCTAAATGGAGATGGTTATTTATTGCTTTTGGGTGATCTACCACAAATATATCTATTACTGTATTCAAAGCACTGTGATATTGCTTTATCTTTGTGAATCTTCTACAAGACTCTTCAAAGAAAGATACTGTGACATGTCTATCTTCACATTTTTTATGTCGAGCATAATGCCTGACATATGGTAGGTGTTCAAAATATTTGTCGGCTGAATAAAGAATGAATGAATAAATTTTGTTTTATGGATTTGTCATGTATTTGCATTACAGTGATACATTTATTGTATCTGAAGTTAGCAATAACTGAAAAGTAAACTTCATTATAAAACCAAAAACATGTAAAAAATCATTTAAATATTATTTACTTAGCACATGTTTATCAATTGCAGCTGCTGTTCCCTCCCACTGAGAGTTTCATGTCTATCAAAACTTCAATTTAGGTAATGGTGTTTCAGTGTGGAACTAAGTGGCCTGAATGAGATGATGTTGAAAGATTTTGTCTTCTTTGCATTTTAAGTAGAGAGTAAGAAAACCCAGAGTTACCCACTCACCTAATTACATTTGTGATGATTTTATGTATGAAATGACACATTGCTTCATATATGTGTTTAATAGGGGAATTAATCTATTTTTATGATGGAAAGTTTTGCAGGAATTTGGGAGATGAATGTACATTTTCTATGTCAGGAGTAGTCACTTTAATTCCAATTTTAAAATCTCTACAGGATCTAGTTCCTTTTTCACAATTTAAAAATACTTATAATTAAAAAGTAGGCATTGCAATTGGTGCCACAGATATTAAAAGAGTAAGAGACTGCTATGAACAATTACACACCAAAAATTAGAATAACTCAGAAAAATGAAAAAAAAAAATTCCTAGAAATATAAAAGTTACCAAGACTAAATTTTAAGGAAACAGAAAATCTACATGAACCAGTAACTAGTAAAAGGATTGAATCAGTTAAAAAATCCTCCCAACAAAGAAAGGCACAGCACCAGATGACTACACTGGTGAATTCTACCTTACACTTAAAAAATTAACATCAATCCTTCTCAAATTCTTCAAAAAAAATTGAAGAGGGGAAAATATGTCCAAACTTTTTTATTGCAGTCAGCCCTGCCCTAATAGCAAAGCCAAAGACACCACAAGAAAAGAAAACTATAATCCAATATCCCTTCTGAACATGGATGCAAAAATCCTCAACAACATGATAGTAAGCCAAATCTAGCAGCATGTTAAAAAAAAAAAAAATCATATACTGCGACCAAGAGGAATTTATTCCTGGAATGTAACAATGGTCAAATGTACACAAATCAATAAACGTAATATATCACATTAATAGAGTGAAGAATACAAGTCACATGATTGTATCAATGAATGCAAAAGAAAAGTATTTAAATGTATTTGACACCATTTCATTATTAAAAACTCTCAAAAAAAACTAGGTGTATAAGAAATTTACCTCAACATAATAAAGACCACATATGAAAAGCCCATAACTAACCTCATACTCAATGGTAAAAAACAAAAAGCTTTTTCTTTATAATCAGGAAGAAGGTAAAGATATCCACTCTCTCCACTTCTAATCAAAATACTACCGGAAGTCCTAGACAGAGGAATTAGGCAAGAAATAGAAATAAAAGGCATCCAAGTCAAAAAGGAATAATTAAAATTGTCCCTGTCTGCAGATGATAAAATTCTAAATGCGGAACAACATAAAGACTCCATGGACCACACTGAGATGTCATCTTGCCCCAGGTAAAATGGATATTATCAAGCAACCAAAAAAAAAAAAAAGGAGAAAAGGTAACTCTTATACATTCTTGGTGGGAATGTAAATTGGTCAAGGCATTATAAACAATAGTAGGGAGGTTTCGTTAAAAAATGGAAAATAGAACTATATAAGATCCAGCAATCCCACTGCTGGGTATATATCCAAAAGAAAGAAAATTGGTATATCAAAGGGATACCTGCACTCTCGTGTTTATTGCAGCAGTATTCACAATAGCCAAGATATGGAATCAACCTGTGTCCATCAGTGCATGAATGGGTAAGGAAAATATGGTATATATGACAATGGAGTACTATTCAGCCATAAAATTGAAATCCTGTTATTTGCAGCAACATGACTGGAACTAGAGGATGTTATGTTAAGTGAAATGAGCCAGGCATAAAAAATGGATATTGCATATTCTCACATATCACACATATGTGTAAGCTAAAAAAGTTGATCTCATGGAGGTAGAGAGTAGAATGATGGTTACCAGAGGCTGAAATGGATGACTTGGAAGGCAAGGAAGAAGAGAGATTGGTTAATGGGTTCAAAAATACAGTAAGAAAGAAAGAATAAATTCTGATGTTTGATAAGCAGGGTGACGAGTTAATGATAATTTATTGTATACTTTAAAATAATGAGAAGATTTGAAATGTTCCCAACATAAATAAATGATAAATGATTGAGGTTATGAATGATAATTCAATTACCCTGATTTGATCACTACACATTGTATACATGTACAAAAATATCACATGTATCCCAGAAATATGAATAATCATTATTTATCAGTAATATTGAGGAGACTCCATTAAAAAAATAAAAAACTGTTAGAACTAATAAGTGAATCCATGAAGTTGCAAGATACAAAATTAACATACAAAGAATCAGCTGCATTTCGAGACCAGCCTGATCAATATAGTGAAACTACGTCTCTACTGAAAATATAAATGAGCTGGGTGTGGTGTAGAGTGCCTGTAATCCCAGTTACTTGGGAGGCTGAGGCAAAAGAATCACTTGAACCCAGGAGGTGGAGGTTGCAGTGAGCCAGGATCATGCCATTCCATTCCAGCCGGGGCAACAAGAATGAAACTCCTTCTCAAAAAAAAAAAAAAAGCTACAAAATGGCTACCAGAAAAATTACAGAAGACACGCTGTAAATAAATAGAAATAAATAGAAATATATCCCATTTTTATGGATTGGAATATTTAATAATGTTAAAATGTCCATACTACACAAAACAACCTACAGATTCAATTTGATGCTTATCAAAATCTGTGACATGTTTTTCCACAAATAAAGTACTAACATGCATATGGAACCACAAAAGATCTTGAACAGCCAAATAATTCTGGAGCAAGAAGAACAAAAGTGCTGGGGTCCTATTTCTTGATTATATATTACAAAGATAGAGTTACCAAAACAGTGTAGTACTGGATAAAAACAGATATACAGACCAGGAGGTGATGAACCTGGAGGACATTACACAGTAAAAGAAACCAATCACAGGAGGATAAATACTTCATGATTCCACTTCCATGGCAAATCTAAAATAGTCAGACCCAAAGAAGTGGAATAGAATGGTGGTTGTCAGGGGATAGGGAAAGGGGGAAATGAAGAGCTGTGGTTCAATGGGTATAAAGTTTCAGTTATGCAAGATGAGTAAGTGCTAGAGATCTGTTGCATAATATTGGACTTACAGTTAATACAATATTGCACACTTAAACATTTGTTGAAAAGGTAGATTTCACATTAATTATTCTTACTCAATAACAAAAAAAAACTTGTAAATTCTTGTGAAATCATTAAAACTTTATCCATATAATTTTGTAATTGAATTGAAGTAATACTTCAAAATTTTAATAAGACAGTGTTTTATTTGAGAAAGTTGCTATAATATATACATACTCACAAAAATATTTTTTAATTAATATAAACTTGTTCTTAACCTTTTTGCATGGCACATGATATTATTTTTACCTGTGTATTCAAGATGAAATCCTGCAGCAGAAACACTGATGTCTGATTGAAAATTTAGATATAGATTATTAGACGTACTATTCAAAAGATGGGGTATTGTTGTTCCTGAAATGATATGTGAGAAGGCAAGTCAATGGCCATATAATAAGTACTATAATAAAATTAAGTAAGTTTACTAATCAGTCAATAGATTACCACTAAAAATATGCATTAATCAAGTTGTTTTTTTAAAAAAAAATAGTAGAAATATTTTTCTCACAATCCTCTTTCAATATACTGTTCCTATTTCCAAGAAGACAGACCACTTGAGATGGCTTTAGATTGCTTCCTAAAAATAGGTAGGAGCAAAAAGAGCTGGTGAAAGTTAAAGCTATATGTTTGACATGTTCACCGAAAAAAAAGTTGAATTTCATGTGGATTTCAGTATTCTGTGCATGAGCTGATAATAAACAATAAATACATATATATGTAAAGTTAATCTTGTTAGAAACATGAATGTTTGCAATGATCACGTTCAAAGAGGTTATTACTGTGTATTCTCTCTGTTTTCCAATATGTTTTTTGAAGACTGTGCTATACCAGAGGCTTCTGATTTTCAAAGTGATAACCAGTTTTAACTGCCTATATGTCACCAAATTTGTGAACTAATTAAAAAGAAACACAAAATATGAATAGAACAGTTTGCAAACTAAAAAGGAATAAAAATAAACTTAATTTTGAACTTTGTACGTGATTTTTATAGTATAGTAACAACTTTGTATGAGTCAGATAATATAATCATTGATTGACTTTTAATAATGAATTAAAGTTAGACAGCTAGATAGATAGATTATTCTATACTAGGTCAAGTGCCTTAATGTTTCTTAAACTCTGACAGCAAAGCTGGTAGTCAGCTTTCAAAAAAATTCCAGTTATGAACTACTGTTACTCTTGTCTTTCAGCAAATGCATTATAATGATATTTTTCTGGACTTCTGAAGGAGACCAAATTTATTTTATTAAGTTATTGAGTTTGAAAATATAAAGTATCTGCTTGAAACAATTATTTCTTGAGTTTGCTATTGAGCAAATAGTTTAAGATTTTTGACTCCAACTCTAGCAGTTTCAAATGGCAAGCATGAAAATAAGTAAGCGTTAATTCTACATTTTAAGACAAAGTTCAACAAGCATATGAGTTGAGATCATTAAAAACATTTCTTTGTAAGTAACTGGTTTCTTTACATTTGCTTTGCACAACTTTGTGGACCTCACTCCTGATGTCTTCTATGAAAGAACAGAAAAAAATTTATTACAGAGCACACACTTGCTTTTTTTCTGACCATAGTGTGATAACGGCAACCGCTGAAGACAGGAATAAACAGAAACTTAAAAGGTCATTTCACCTGCCTTAAGTCTCTTAGAGGATCTTACTGATTAAGAGCTCTAGTTCTGGAGTCACACCAGCTGGGTCCCAATCTCATTCTAACATTAGTTGTACAACCTCAGGCAACTTAATCTCTCTAAGCCTCCATTACCTACTAGGTTTGCTAGAAAGATCAAATAAGGAAATGCATGGCAAATGTCACACAGAACTAGCACTTAGTGATCAACAGGTGTTATTTATCACTTATATTATCATTATATTATTATTTTTAAAGTATTACAGATGGGTGTGGTGGCTCATGTATTAATCACGGGATTACAATCCCAGCTAATCAGGAGGCTGTAAGACAGGTGGATCTCTTGAGACCACAAGTTGGAAATCAGCCTGGGAAACACAGCAAGACCTCAGCTCTAAAAAAACAAAATAAAATAAAAATTAATTGAGGTTGTGGCATGTGACTGTAGTCCCAGCAACTCAGGAAGTTGAAGCAGATAGGTCACTTGAGCCCAAGAAGTTAAGGCTGCAGTGAGCTATGATTGCACCACTGCACTCCAGCCTGGGCAATAGAGCCAGACCCTGTCTCTAAAAATGCACACACAAAAATTAATAATGATACTAATAAAGTATTACCCCCAACCTATTATAAATAAAAGTATACTAAAATTGTGTGGGATTTTTCTAAGACTTCTATCTAAATCTATATTGTTCATGCCTAAATCAAATCACTCCTGCTCCAGATATTTCTTTCTTTTCCTCATTGGTTCTGATAAATAATGGGTTCCACTACTCCATTTAAAAATCTCTTAAAAGCTTAGTCATTCAAATTTATTTCAGTATATCTTAATTGAATAAGCTAATCTGTTAGCTATGTTTATATTTCTAGAGTTTAAAAACTATAATAGTAAAAAATTAACAAAGTAAAACTTTTTATTTCAACTTCTATATGCAAAAGCTTTTAAATTATTGCATAAATTACCTTTTAAACCTCAATAAATCTGGCCGGGTGTTGTGGCTCACACCTGTAATCTCAGCAGGTGTGATCACCTGCTCGCCAAGGCAGGTGGATCACCTGAAGGCAGAAGTTCAAGACCTGCCTGGCCAACATAGTGAAACCCCGTCTCTCCCAAAAAATATAAAACTTAGCTGGGTATGGTGATGCACGTCTGTAATCCCAGCTACTCTGGAGGCTGAGACAGGATAATCGCTCGGACCCAGGAGGCAGGGGTTGCAGTGAGCTGAGATCTCACCACTGCACTCCAGCCTGGGAGACAGAGCGAGACTACATCTCAAAAAATAACAACCTTAATAAATCTAACAGATTTTAAAAACAAGTCCACATCTTACATAAAAAATAAGACTTTTATTTTGTTTCTTTCTGGTCTTGTTACACATGTATATACTAATTTTATACAATTTTATTCATTTCATAGAAATAATTCTGTATTCTCTTTATTCTCACCTAACAGTACCTTGTAGCATTCACCTGGCTATTTTCATGACTTCATAGCACACAATTCAAAGCACAGTGTAATTTTTAATTATTATTGCTCATCCTTTTAAGGAAAAGAGCATACATACTATTCCTGAACCCCAACTCAGCTGAAAATATTATCAGTAATATAAAACCATCAATAAATAATTAGACAAATATATAAAGAATTAAAAATATAATAAGGTTTTAAATATCAATATTGATATCATCTTTAAATCTTTTAAACTTCAGTCCTTGTATCTTTGTGTATAGTTTGTAAAAAGCAAATTAAAACCACCAAGTAAGAGTTGTAGGCAGCTCTTTAATTTTGTTTATATTCTTAATTATACTTGTATTTTAATTAAGCTCAGCTCTCTTATTTACCTGAATAGCTTCCAAGTCTTGGAGCATTGTTGTCTCCCCCATCATAAAAGTCCAGAGAATCCCAATTATGTTCTGTGGCAAAGCTAACAACTTGTACCTGTGAAATAATAATTACAGGTAAGAATAGACATTTCTAACCAGATACACATAACTATAGTCCACCAATCTCCCTTGGAAAAGAGAGTTCAAATCCTGGACCACATAACTGTGGCCCCTCATAGAAGGTTTTTAACAGAACTTATTTTTTTCCATTATTGTACTGGCTTACACGAGCTGATTTTTACACAGAAAAGCCTTTGAAGCACCTACCAACGTTCACTATGGGTATAACCAGAGTAATGTCTGTCACTATCTCAGAACATTCTCTTTTCAAATGCTTTGAGCTAATCTAATGACCCAGTGCCTGGAATCTCAATTCATTTTCAAAACAATTGGTTAATTTTTATGTATATGTCATTGATTTGAGTTTCCTAGTTTTCTTGTAGCTATTAGGAAAAACCAGATTTGTGGTCTACAAGTCTATAGGAGCTTATAATAAACCTTTTTAAAACCAAGTTTATTTCTGGATACTTTTAAATTATCCTTTCCTTGCATAAACTTTGCTCAATGTCTTCTCTTCCTTTATTTAAAAAATTTTAACATGCATAATTTTAACAAGTCTCAGTATGGATGAGAAAAAATGGCAATTTGTAATTAATTCAAATGCATGTTTAAAAATTTATTTTAATGAATAGAGTTATAGCAACTAATTCACAGTTGAAGGTCCTTAAAGTTGAGAACGGAACTATTGGGGAGATTTAATTCTCTCCTGTCTATTAAATTTTATTTAAAGAAAGAGGCATGTGTTACTTTATTGCACATCACTTGGCACAGCTTGAGTTTTTGCAAGAACCCACAGGACCGTCACAACTGTGGATACTATTTTGCTATTTCTTTATTAATTTTTTTGTAGTTTTAGAGGAAGGAAAGGAATAACTTTATTAAAAGTTTTTTTTAAGCTAAAATCTGTTAAAAACGTAGGCACTGTACATTCACTAAATAATTACAACAATTTCACTCATTAAAAATTTATTATCTGCAAAATAGCCCATCATTATTCTTCCATACAAGTGAATATTGGTGCCTGTTTCCAGGGGTGAGTGCCACATGGCAATAGATACCCTGCCTGTAGGATTGGCATCAGGCCCAATGGCAATGTTCTAAGACAGGAAGAAGACCAGAAGTAAAGCTGTATAATTGTAATATAACTGCTACCTCCTTAAACAATTATAAATTCCCTCTTCATGTCTAAAATTTCCTTTCCTTCAGTTCAGGGGAAGAAAATACTGCATTCAGCTTTTTAAAAAATGTGAAGATTCACGCAGGAGTTGACATTTGGGCTAAGCTGAAGATATTGAGCTGAAGGAAATTATTGAGTGTCTAACAATGTAAAAGGAATCAAACCATGAGCTAGATTTAGTGGACCATGAGTAATCTTATTTAGCCACAGGGGAGGGTATTTACATAAGAAGAAATACACATGCAAAGTTAGAGAAATAATAAAAAGTTCAAAAGAGTAGAGCTTAGTAGCTAAATACAAGAGAACTTAGAATCAAAAAGCCTAGGTTTGCAACTTCCTGGCTCCTTCTCTTCATTGGCATGCCACTAAAGGAAAGTTGTCCATCTTTCTGTACTTCAGATTATTTAAATAAATTATTGTCATAAGGGTATCTAATACATAGATTCATTATAAAAATTAAATTAGTTAATTCGTATAAGGTGCCCAGCATGTAGTAACGACTCAATAAATCTTAGCTAAGAGGAAGATTAGGGGAGAAACTCAATAAAAAACTAAACACCAGCCTAGTAACTATGCACTTCAAGACACAGTGACACCTTCAGTTTTCCAATGAAGCTTTCAGAAGTCGGAGGAAGAACATGATTAGGACTGTGCTCTAGGTACAGCACTGCATTGGGTGAAGAAAGTAAAAGTGAAAAGACAATTTCAATATCTATTTCAGTAATATTTCAATATGTATTGCAGTAGAAAACAATGAGAGACTGAAGTGTATTGGAGGCAAGTGTAGTAAAAGTGGGAATCCAGATATTACACGTGTTGCTGTAGAGAAAGTTATTAAATTTTGTGTGATTCGAATAGGGGAGGAAGTGAAAGGAAAATTTTGAGAAAAATTTATTTTCTTTTCTGAATTATTGAGAGTAGTGGGGTAACAAGAGCAAAAATGTAGACATCTCCAGGAAAATCTATTACCTAGGAGGGAGAAAGAAAGTCAGTTTACTTCTGGATACATATGTCTAGTGTATACAGTGGAATAATGCCTTCTGAAGATATTAGGTTCTGATCTCTGGAACCTCTAAATATTACTGTATATGGAAAAGGGTCTTTCAGATGACCTTAATTTAAGAATCTTGAGAGAGGGGAAAAGAGGCAGAGGGAGACTCGACACTCATAGAAGAGAAGACAATGTGACCACGGAGGCAGAAATTGGAGTGATGTGGCCAGAATCCAAGGAATTCCAGCAGCCACTAGAAGCTGGAAAAAAATAAGGAAGAGATTCTCTCATTCTTGAGACCCTGAAGTGGTCAGAGACAAGGTAGGAGAGGTTCTGCCAGGATCTCAATTTCAGTGCAGTAAAGTTGATTTTGGACTTCTGGCCTCCACGGCTATGAGGAAAAAAATAAAATAAAATCTGTTGTTTGTAATTATAAAACTCATGGTAATTTGTTACAGCAGCCAGAGAGCTGTAATATAATTTGCCACTGGGATTTGAGGTACATTGTGAATGTAGTTTGGCATAATAAAAATATAGAGTGTAGAAGAAGAATTTGGCCAGAAGGACTGGCAGACAATGCTATGAGATTTGTTAAGGGACTCAAATAAATGATTGAGTACTCATTATGACAGAAGACACGTGAAAGCTAACTAAAGATTTTTTTTTTCTTTTTTTGAGACAGAGTCTCGCTCTGTCTCCCAGTCTGCAGTGCAGTGGCGCGATCTCCGCTCACTGCAAGCTCCACTTCTCGGGTTCACTCCATTCTCCTGCCTCAGCCTCCCAAGTAGCTGGGACTACAGGTGCCCGCCACCACGCCCGGCTAATTTTTTTGTATTTTAGTAGAGACGGGGTTTCACTATGTTAGCCAGGATGGTCTTGCTCTCCTGACCTCGTGATTGGCCCGCTTCGGCCTCCCAAAGTGCTGGGATTACTGACGTCAGCCACCGCGCCCGGACCAACTAAAAATTTTAAAAGAGGTAATTATTGACTCACTGTTCAGAGTAACTTTGCATTAGATATAGTTTCCCATCATGGCAATGGAATAGCTTTATGAGGTAATGAATTTCCAATCATTAAAACTAGGCTTCTATCATTATAACTGTTCAAATTCCGTTTTACTTCAGATTACATAAAATCAGGATAATCATCTGTAAACTGATACAATAATGTAATCAACATATTTTCCCCTATGGTTTATTACATATTTCCCTTTTCCTGATAACTATCACTGTTAATTTTGAATGTAGCCCCATTGAAATTCTCCAATATATCCTGCTAATATAAACAAACAATGAATCTACTCTTTGCCACAAAGAGTGGGATATTCTCACGTAATATTAATTTAACAAATTAATCTGTTTGTTGAGGTAATTCCCAAAGAATGGTTCAATTATTCTGTATTATTGTAATTTTTCGGCATTCCAAATGTTTCTTCTTTTCCTCTCTTTTTAACAATGATAATCCCACTTTATCTCATATATGATTTATTGAATATTCATATAATTCTTTATTCACACACATATTTGGCCCAACAGAGACAAATATTAAATATTGATCTTTAAACCTAGTGTAGTAGCCAGGTAGCTCTTAGGTAAATTTAATGAAGATTCAAATATAAGTCATATATTACATAAGTGTGTGTGTGTGTGTGTGTGTGTATGTGTTACAAGTTTCTATAACTCAGTGATATGTCTAAAACTAGCATCCATATAAGTGATCAATCAGAAAAAAGTCCTTGATAGCTGTTTTTAGCGTGTTTACAATTAAAATCCAAAATTTTTACACACTATATGTTTGCTAAATGCTCTGCTAAACTCAAATTTTGTTTTCTAAAGTACAGTCAAGAAACAAAGTCCTTCCTCAGTGGAAGATTTTAATGTTATTCATATGTGTCCAGTTTTGAATAGTGTTTGCCTAGGATAAGTGATATATAACATAGTTTTTCTGCAAACATCTTAGTAGTTCATTATGCCTGCTAACCCTAAAATAGTCAAAACTCCACTTGTGCAAGTATTCATTGATTTGTTCTAAAAATATGTACTGAGAATATACTGCCAGGCACTGTGCAGTATGCACTTCCAGGAACTGTACTAGCTGACAGAATGGACTTGGCACTGTCCTCATGAGGTTATAGATAATTAGTAGTAACATTAAAATGTTATGGGTGTTATGATAAATAAATTCCAGGGAACTATGAGAACATACAGCAGAACTTAACCTTGTCTCAATTTCATGGAAGGTCTTCCACAGAAAATGTATTTAAGTTGAGACAGAAATGTCGAGTAAGAATAAGCAAAATAAAAGGCGATCATAGAGAGTGTTGGCAGAAAGAACAACATGCACAAAGGGTCCAAAGGCAAAAGAAAGCTAGGTTTTTATAAGGAGTTGAAATAGTACAGATAGAATAGTTACAAAATAAGGACAGAGCACAATGGCATAATCAATAATGTCAAAGGAGTTAAGGAGATTGGAGACAACTGAGGTATTATATACAAAAAAATGATAGTATTACATTTTTACTTTCAGATGGTTACTCTACTAGATGTACAGGAGATAGACTGGAGGAGAATAAGAACCTGGGACAAGGATGACGCTACCTGATCTTGGGTAGTAAAAGTGTGGATGGAGAGAAATAGACTTGTTTAAGAGATTTACGAAAGACAGACCTGACAAATTTCATTGTACCGAGTTAAGAGTCAGAGAAGAATTAACATTTCTGGCTTGTGTAACTTAATGGATGAGGAAGTTGTTCTGAGAAAGAGAACACTGAGAAAGTTCTATAGTTTTGAGAAGAGTCTATGAAGTCAGTTTTAGACAGGTTGAATTTGACAAGCCATCAAGAATTTTAGCTGAAAATGTCCAGTAGGCAGTTGGATATATGTTCTGCAGCTTAGGTGAGAGGTCTGGGTTAGATATTTAGGTCTGGATGTCATCATTTATTCAGCACCTCATTCGAAAATATGTTTTCTGATTTTCTATTATGGTTTAGGTCCGGACATTTCTAGCACATGAAAGTAGCTGAAGCCATGGAATTAGACAAGGTCCCAGAGAGAATAAAGTGAAATGAACAAAGGCCACAGAATCTCATAAACACTAATATTTGAACAATAGATTGAATTGGAAGAGGAGACCAGGTAGGAGTTATAGAAGTAGAAGCTACAGATGTAGAAGAGAAAACAAAACAAAATCCAAGAAAATATTGGTCTCCTAGGATCTAAGGAGACAAAAATAGTCTATTAGGAATCAGGGGAGGAACAACAAGATAGAGAGCTGCTGACAGAGCAAGAAAGATGAACCACACAATGGATTTAATCACATTTAGATCTTCACTATGAGATTGGCTCTATTAGAGTATTGGGTGCTGAAGCCACATTGCAGTGGGTCAAAAAGAGAAGATGAAAACTCAATAAAAAATGCCAGGGTTTTCATAATTTTAAGATAAGATGGAAATAAGTAAGCTAATGTTAATATATAGATGCTCTAGAATAACCTTCAGAAGATTACAACCAGATGATAGTAAAATTTCTATGAAGGTTTTAAAGATATCATATCATTTCAGATCCTCTACATAAGCTGGTACATGGGCAATCCCAAAATCCCTACTATTCTACTATAATAAGATAGAGTTGATTAGTTATTTTCAAATTTTACAAATTGTCTGTAAACTAGCCAGAATGTAAGTATGCATCTATAATCTTTGGATACCCTTAAAACTCTGAAAATGTACATGCTTTAGGTTTTGTCATTGGTTTGCTGGCATATTTTACTCCCAACGCCTGTCAAGTAATTTTTAAAACGTCTGAACAATTATAAATCCATGAAGCTGATTGTTTTTTACTAAAAAATATGCTTCAATGTGATTTCATTATAAATGCATGGTGTCTTGGCTAATTTTTCCACAACTCATATATGTCTCAAGTTTCTAAATAAAAACTCTACAAGTCAATTAGAGAAGTAATAAAGTTATATCTGTGAAGGCTAGATAATGTAATATTTATGAAGCATAATTACCTTTCATAGAATATATATACTGATTCTGCAGTAAAATATTACCAATTCATCCAGAAAAAAATATATCTTTATGTAAACAGAATAACTCACCAAATAGCATCCCCCAAAATAGGCATAATTCAAATAACAGGACAGTCACTGTTGATTACCTATTTTTAAAGAGCATCCTCCTTCCTTGCTAACAGAGACCTGGTTTAGTTCAATTAAGTGAGAGATGTGTGCATCATAGGAGGCTGCACTTATTGCTTACTCCTGATATGTAACACCATTTTATTTGAGCCAAATCATAGTAACTCTTTGGTTGTTGCCCATTGTATACGTCAGGAATGGATATGATTACAATCTTGGTTAATAAAACAGGAGGGCAAGCCTGCTGGCAGGTTTCCTGAAAAGTTTTCTTAACCACTGAAATGGTACATAACATAGGGACATTCTGTTTTAGCTGCTGGCCATTGCTATGTAGGGCTGTTATGCCTAGAGCTTTTGCAGCCACCTCAAGACCTCAGGAGAAGGTGTCTAAGAACTAAAACCAACAGGCTGAGCATGGCAGAACAGAGCGATGGAAATAACCTGGGTGAGGAAAGACACAGCTGAACCCCTGAAATAATGTTTAAATCTGCTTACCTCAAGATTCCATGTTATATGGGGTTAATACATTTTTTGTATTGATTATGCTATCTTGAATTGGCTTTCTGTTAATTCTATGTGAAAAACATTAATAACAAATATCTTTCTATTCATTTCAACCATGTCAGTCAAAACCACTTGCTAAACTTTTAGAAATAACGTTCATTCTGTCATCTCTGAAAAGATTAATGACAAACATATAATGAAAAGAAGAAAAACTAAAATATTCTTACTTGAATGCCAGCTCCCTCTGGCACTGTGATCTTCCACACACAATTCAGATTGTTGTCATAAGGCTCAGGGTATCCAGGTGACAAAATAGTCCCTTTGCGCTTAGTTAAAAATCCACCGCAGGGCACTAAAAATAAAGCAGTCCAAGAGAGGGAGTTAATTCTGATGCAAAGGATTAAAAAAGACTAAAGGTCAGAGATAACATCTTAGATAGATACTAGACTTGCAAATCAAATCATACTGTTTTTCAAAACTCATAAAAGCAATGAAAATTAAGTTTTTGTATACCATGAAAATGTTAAAAAATAATTAGACAGCATTAATGGATGACCTTTGAATGGCATATCTAAAAATAATACTACAATTAACTCAATAACAGCATATTATTTGTATTATATTACTAAAACATGCATTGACTAAATTTGCCTTAAAAATAGTTCATTTCCAGATAAATATTGTCTTGAATTTTTTAAAAAATTATTTGGTACTTTCTCCTTCCTACATTCTTTGAGGAGTAACAGCATCCACTGAAAAGTAATGAGGATGATGATAACAATTATGATCATAACATTTATATAGAGCCTACTCTATGATAGGCAGCCTCCTAAGTACTTTACATATTTTAACTAATTTAAGCCTTCCAACAACTAATGAGATATGAATAAGTATTCTCCACATTTAACAGCTGAGGCAATAAATGGAGTCATTAAGAGATTGTCTTGCCCAAGATTACATATTAAGAGATGAAGCTGGCCAGGTGCAGTAGCTCACGCCTGTAATCTTACCACTTTGGGAGGCTGAGGTGGGAGGCTCACAAGTTCAGGAGTTCAAGACCAGCCTGGCCAATAGAGTGAAACCCTCTCTCTACTAAAAATACAAAAAATTAGCCAGATGTGGTGGTGGGCGCCTGTAGTCACAGCTACTCGGGAGGCTGAAGCAGGAGAATCACTTGAACTCAGGAGGCAGAGGTTGCAGTGAGCTGAGATTGCACCACTGCACTCCAGCCTGGGAGACAAAGTAAGACTCCATCTCAAAAAAAAAAAAAAAAAAGATGAAGCTAAGATTTGAATCCTGGCAGTTGGAGCCAGAGTCCATGTCCTTAGGTGGAACTGAAGATACTTGAAGTGGTCCCAGTTCAGTTATTGCCATTCTAACTACTACAAGAAAGAATATGTATGCAGACTTACTCAGAAATTGATAAAGGCTTCAATCATTTTTAGAAGGTACTAAGCCGAAAGCAAAATTCTCATGCCATTAATAGAATCACCTTGATTCTGGTCATAACCTAACTCATAACTCTTAAATTCTGTGTGACTTTGACGTGTTCTTTAAACTCTATGAAACACAGATATCTTACCTGTGGAATGGTAATGCTATTGTTTCTAAAAGGCTTTTGTGAAAAATACAAAGAAACTAGAATGTACATAAGAAACTAGAACACTGCTTGGAACACAGTTAGAAATCAATAAATCATATTTCCTTTTGCTACAACTATTATTTTAGGTTCCAATGGTACTGTGCTCCTGGGGAATTTGTCCTAATATGGCTATAAATGATGAGATATAAGGAACATATCTTTTGTAATAATTTTTTTAAGTGAATTACAGATTTGTGCCACTTTCAAAGACAAACGCAAACACCAGGGCAATTACTCAAAAAAAAAAAAAAAAAAAAGAAAGAAATTAAAAAAACTGCTGCAAACTTTTTAAAATAGTGTGACAATATTTTTTTTTTAAAGAAACTCACTTAGTTGTGTTTTCTTACAAATCTCTGTTAATGGGTTATATACAAATTCTGTTTAAATTAGCCAAAATTAATTTAGCCCATTTAAATAGAAAACCAGCAGTTTTGCATGATTTGAGAATGGCATGCAATAGACAGAAGAATAAATCTAAAATATTCACCCAAAAAAAAGAACAAAAAAAAAGTAATTGATGAAGTGTATCCTGCCAATTAAAAAAAAAAAAAAATACTTTATAGATGCTCTTCCTCTCCATCCCCACCATCCCCACTGCCACAACCTTTCCTCATACATATATATATTTTTTTTTTTTCTGAGTTGCAACATTAATAACATAAACGGTCTCCCTATGGCTGGTATGTTTTCCATGCACTATATTTTTGAAATTACTGTCAAAATTATCTTTCTAAATTAAAATATGACATGTTGCTTCTCTGGTGAAAATCCTTAAAAAATTTCCCCATTGTCTGAATTCACAACTCACGGATAGTTTCTTTTTCCTTTTTACTTTTTTTTTTGTTTGTTTTTGAGACAAGCTCTGGCTTTGTTGCCTAGGCTGGAGTGCAGTGGTGTGATTATAGCTCACTGCAGCCTCAAATTCCTAGGCTCAAGCAATCCTCCCACCTCAGCCTGCAGAAGAGCTAGTACTACAGGTGTGTGACATCACACCCAGTAATTTGTGCATAGATATTCAGCTAATTTTTATGTAGCTAATTTGTAGAGACAGGGTCTATGTTGCTCAGGCTGGTCTTGAATTGTTGGCCTCAAACAATGCTGCCTCAACCTCCCAAAGTGCTAGGATTATAGTCACGAGTCACTGTGTTGGGCCTACAGATAAACATAGTTAATTGTATTCGTCTCTGACTTCATCTCCAGGCTTATATGTAATTATAATTTCCCAACTCCTCATCATCCTAATCTCCCATCCCAGTCCAGCCTTCTAAACTAATATGCTCCCTTATTGCTGTCACTTGATCTGTCCTTCTCTCACCTAGCTAACACCTACCCATCTATGAACTTTCAGTGTGAATGTTACCTCTTCAATCCTTTGGAATTTTCCTGTTCTAAGTGTTCTATAGTTTCCCATAGCACCAAATGTTTTCCTGTACAATTTTATCATACTATGCTTCCATATTATTTTTATATTAGTCTCTTGCAATAGACTCAAGTCTGAGCAAAAAAGGTCACTTTTTTGCCTGAAACTCTGTTTGTCAAGATTCTAACTCTTCTCCTTCTTTGCATTATAAATTTTCTTCCATGCTGCTACAGTGACAAGTTATCTCCTCTTCCTCCATCGTCTCTTTCATGCATTGCATCAGGCTTTTGTCCTCACTGCTCTAGTGAAATGACCATGTCAAAGTCACCAGAATATTAATGTTGTAATATGATCAATCCTTAACTTGTATTTTACTTAATCTATGAATAATTAGTTCTCACTGTTGATCACTCCATCTGTCTTGAGCCTTTGTTTGCTTGACCAACAGAACATCATACTTTCCTGGTTTTCTTCTGTATTATTGGCTGCAGATTTTTTTTTTTTTTTGGTAACTCATTCTCCTCTTTGTAACTTTGTCCCAGGCCATAGTCTGTCTTCTAATCACCATCCCCGCTCAGTGATAACATACACTTCCATGTCTTCTATATGCTCTGACTACCAGATGTTTATCTCTAGCTGTGATTTCTGTGAGTTTTGCAATCATATGTCTAATAAGTATCTTAAAATGGATATGTCCAAAATAATAACTTTGAAATTCTTCCTCATCCACACTCTCTTTCATCTCAGGGAATGTCACCACCATTCACTCAGTTCTTAGGTATAAACCTAACGTTCATCTTGATTTATCTTTCTTGCATTCAAGTTTACATTTACATCTATTCTCAATCTATCAGTAACAGCTCCACCTTAAAAATATATCCCAAAGGTTACTAATTCGTATCACTGTGACCATTATCTTCCTATCCAAATCGCATTACTTTTCCCTCCATTACCTTGATAGGCTTCTAATCAGTCATATTGGTTCTACTCCACATCTCCCTACACTAACTAAGTGATTTCTTAGAAACTGATTAAGATCACAACACTCCACAGCTCAATATATTCCCATACTAGTTAGAAAAATTTCAAACTCACCATGGTCTTCAAGGATCCAAATGACTTGGCCCTCTGCTCTGCCTCTCTAAACTCATCACCTATCACTCTTTGCTATCATTTACTGTGTTCCAGACACTGTGGCTTGAACATGTCAAGATCTCTCTCCCCTCAACAGTTCATACACTTGCTCACCAACAAGAAAGACTTTTATTCATCCCTCCCTTTGTTCATTTTATTCAGGTTTAAAATGGCAGCATGCTCTGGATGTCTGGTAACTCCAGCTCCTGTTTTATTTTTTTCTACAGCACTACCACTCCCCAAAAGAAAAGAATGTATTTCTTGATGACGTTTATCCTCCTCCACTAAAATGTAAAATGTAAATGCAAAATGTAAGGACAAAGATCTTATATTCTTATTCAAAACTATGTCACCAGTGCTTAGAATAGTGTTGGCATGCAGTAAGCACTCAATAAATTCTTGATGAATAAATCACTGAAGAACTGATTGTGTGTCTGTATATATCTTGTGCTTTCAAATTACCTCTTTATCATTCCTGCATCATTCCTGTCTCCCAGTATTTTCCTAAACAAGCCATATTTGTCTAATTCTACATCAATCATCTTTATTTATTTACCAACAAAATATGCTATAGAAAAATTAGCAGATAAGCAATACCACATACAGAATATTTTACATTTGACTCTCATGTATATTACTTAATCTAACATTTGCATCCTGTTTTTAAAAGATATATGATAAATTTCTGTTCTGATCAGTATTCAGTATAATATGTGGATTAAGAAAACAGGCCTTCAAATCAAGCAGCCTAGGTTCAAATCAAATTCTGCTTTTTTATCTAAGCCAAGAGGTTTTAATACCTGTAAAATAGAGATAATTGTATCTACCTTCCAAAGTTGATGTCAATATTAAATGAGATAATGCTTAATAGTGCTTCATTCAAATGCTAAAAATTGCTATTTATTATTGTATTTAATAACTTTTTCATGGATGAATGGGTAGATGAATAAATGGATAAATGAATAAGATGGAGATTTTGTATATATTTCTTCATGAATTTTTTCCCATTCTAAGAAAAGATGAAGTAGACAGGTGTTGCCATGGAGACTTTCAAGTAAAAGTAGTTCTTTCTGAGTCTCTAAAGAACTTAAAAAAACAGAACCAGATAAGCTGATCAGATAAGCAGCTAATTAAAGACTCTTTGCCTAAGGCGAGTAGGTGGCGGCTTCTGGGGTTTTTCAAAAAAGACCTCCCACTAACAGAAGTACTTATGCCT